ATTTGAATTATTTTATAAAATAATATCCTCTTCCGTGTAAATTTATGGCATGGTTTCTCTCCATTGAGGGAGTTTCAAAAGAATTTTAGGAAAAGTCATTTAATCAAGTTGGAACAGTCCAAGTACAGAAACATGTACCTTATTGCTGGGCCTAAGTCTGTTGATAAGAAAGATTGCATACTTTTTGAGAGCCCTGAAAACATGTCTATTTAACAACACCTTCCCACATATTCCAGATAAAAAAACTTAAAAACACAAGTCGAGCCGGAGTTTGAATTTGACGAAGGCAAAATAAATTTTTGAAGAGGAGGTATTTTTTTTGTAATTCTTCAAGTTTCTTCAAGGTTAATATAGACGACTATTAATATAGATAACTATTTTTCTATGGGGATATCAACATATAATGCTGAACTATTTTTTGGAATTTTACTCACTCAGGGTGGGAGCAAGTGACAACCCGTGCTTCCAAACTGGTGAGATCCAGCGAGGCCGGCTGAACTGGTATGGTTCCCAGGTCGGCTCCTGTCCGCACGGCCCACCTCGCAATGCACGATGGATACACATTACACTCGAGGTCCGAAAGTCTGAAGTTTCAGTTTTCCTAGAAGGAGTTCACGTGACTTCTTTTCGAGGCCACTTCCCTCCTAAAGGTGCTGGGGGTGTGTTATTGGCTAATCGCCATGGAAGTGTTGTAAGGTTCAAGAACTTTATCATCAACGATATACCTTCTTTGCCGTTTGAAACAAGGAGTTGTGCTACAATGCAGGATAACACAAAGTACTACTCCATGATAAGTCAAGGCGACTTCTGGTCGCAAGGATTCTGCCGCGCTCTTCTGAAAAATGTCAACTTGGAGGAGACATCTACTTATCAGGTGTCCGTGGACTTGTTCAGTGATCTGGGTTGGAGTGGCGACAGGATTGCATATCTTGGAATTATTTTCAATGCCCGTGATATCAATAATGCTGACTTCATTTACTTCAGGTAAACGCCTAAAGCGTTACCCTAAACATCGTATCGTAAAGGCTCATATTAGCACCCCCTTCGAATAAACGCCGATCCTATCGACCAAACCTTTTACCAAAAGGCCTTCCTCTGAAAAATTGCCCTTCCTTCTCCTCTTTTTAAAATAAACGAAAGATCAAGTTGGCCGAAATAGTTATGTGCGTTGCTTGGTGATAAAGCAACTTGTGTTTGTGAACACTTAAGGTTTGAAAAAGTAACGAGTGTCCACTCTGCCACCATTACGACTTAAGGTTGAACTTCAGATATTGTTACAAGGTTTATGCTAACATTTTATAATAAAAAATGATTATAACTAATTGTCTTGCGCAACTAGTACGCCTTTTTTCGTGCCAATTAAACTAACTCATGAACCAATTTTTAATTTGTTCTAGACCTTACTGGAAGGATCACTGTTACCAAACAGGATACATGATGGGCGGACGGCAGAGGAGAGAAGGAGCCAAAACCGGGCCCTGTTCCTGCACCGTAGCAGGCGGGAAATGGTTTAACGTCCGTCTGGAAATCCGCAGTAACATCGTAAGCGTTTTCATGAACGGCCTAGCTGCTGCAACTTTTAAATCGCATTTTCCTTCCACCAACAAAGGTACTGGTGTTCTTGTAACGGGCGGTTGCCGGAAGTCCATTCGTTTCAGGAATTTTACCGTGAAATCGCTTCCGTTACTGCCTTTTACTTCCAAGAATTGTCAGGGCGCAAGGGATTCTGGGAGCTATTTCACCTTAGTGGCTTATCCCGGAATTGAAGACACTACTCAACCCGGTGTGTGCCGCGCAGTGTACCCGAAAAATGTCCTGGGCACTAGTTACGTCATCAGCGTCAGTTTTTATGTTCAGGGGAGTCTGCTGGGTGGAAAGTATGGCGTCATGTTTAACGTGAAGAACGCTGACAGCTTCGAGTTTGTTTACTTCCGGTAAGAATAAATTTATGAAAAAACGATTTAGCTATTTTTATTCGATGGGGCGTATTTTCATCGATACTCTCTATTTCTAAATCAAATTTACTAAGACGGCCTGTCAAACGAAAGAAAATATTAAGAGCCCATGAGAACTCAGAGTGAGTCTATGTGCCCACCTCAAGCGCGAAAAAAACGCAAAGTATGAAGTCATGATTGGTTCTGGCGCTGCACCTGATTGGTTGACTATGTGGTGCGAGTTTCTTGATCAATCTTGGTGCTAAACAAAGCAAAGAACTGCTCCATGAGTCACTTAGTAAGTTTTTCGCAAACGCACAAGTTTCTATCGCAGCTGATTTTTAAAATAATGCTCAATAACATTTACCGGTACTTCTGGCGGCCACGTCTTTGTTTTTTGAAGCCTTGTAAGGCTTAAAAAATTAGGGAATTGACCTTTATGAAACCCAACAGGCCATCTCAATACTACTCAGGTTTACGAGACTGTTTTATCTTTAAATATTTACGAAATTCTTTCAACTATTTTACGATAATTTTTTCATTCTAAATCACCTGATAGACGGTGTAATTTAGTAATATCAACTGCGTTGATAACGTAAATTGGTCACCGTAAAGAGTTTAAAAGCTGACGTTTCGAGCTGTAGCCCTTCGGGCTTATGCTGAAAACGTCGGATTTGGAATCTCTTGTTAACGGTGGTTAGTTTACATTACCAACTCAGTTGATAGCACCAAAGTATCTCGTTATACCTCCCACCGACTCAGCAGCACAGTTGCTATAGAAACTTACCCCTTTTATTACTCTTACTCTCTCTCAGACGGGGGGTTCCAAGAAGTAATGCTTTCATAACATATTTCCACACTCATTTCCAGACCCTACAACCGCGATGACTGCGTTCAAATAGGGTACCTTCAAGGCACCAAAATCAACGAAGGGGAACGAAGAAAACCGAAATCCCTGACATGCTCATACGGATTCATGCGGGGTGGAAGTTGGTATGATGTGCGCCTCAAGGTCAACGGAAGCGAAGTAAAGGTTCTCATAGATAATGTAGTGGTCGCCGTTTTCAAGAGTCGATTCCCGACTATTGGGCGCGGAGGAGTCATGGTGGCCAGCGGTTACAAGCGAAGAATAAACTTCAAAGACTTTCGCATATTGTGATTATATCAGTGAAGAGCTGTGAATATTTACCCAATCCTTGGCTATAATGTGGCTTTGAGAAAATCTCACGTCCCTTTTCTAAGGGAAACGGGTCGCGATTGGAAGTTGAGTGCGACATGTACCTCGCAAACGGCAGTCTCAATTTATCTGAAAGGCATTTGAATTTTCTTTATTCGGGAATAGTAAACCGATACAAATAGTGAACCTCTTAATTTTCCTTGAATAGAGTTTCTTGCCCTTTAGAAAAATATGCAATTAGAATTTCAGGTTAAAAAAAGTTAAAGGAGTTTTATTATGTGATGAAGACGTTACTGATCATTTTTATTGACCATGTTAAGGTATATGTTTGGTTCATGATATTAGATTTCAAACTTGTTTTACCTGTTAGTGTCAGATAATGAAGATACGATCATTCTTCATGTATGAATGATCGAGCTATCCACAAAATTTCACGGTGATATACCATGTGCCGAATAGATTATAATCTCTTGGTGAACCATATAACACGTAAATTTAATATCTATCAATCTATAGAATAATATTATTGTACCCATGCCTCATACGTTATTCAGGGCAAATTTTGTGCTTTTTGAGCCTTTTTGTTGTAATTCGTGACTAAGTAAATGGTGACACAGCCGGCAATTATAAAAATTATCTTTTTACGGACTATTAAACACTTTTATAAGAAAAAAGGGAAAAAGTTTTATATACTCACATTATGTAGTTTAACGAAATGGGTTAAAAAGAACACAAAGAAAGGACTTGAGTGATCATTTCACAGTTGAACTAGCAAAGAACAAATATGTTAAATCGAGGCCAGTGTAACAACAATTTCTTTCCTGAGCTGATGTAGTACTCAGTTTGAAACAGTGAGTTCCTAGTTCTTGAAAAAAAAAAAAATAGCTCCCGAACGTCGACAAGCTTTAATTTTTGTGTTTTTATTTCTGCTCTCTCCCCATGATTTCACAGCATTTCCACAAGAAACAGCTATTTTCCATGGAAACCAAGTCCTTCTCGTGAAAATGTCAATATAGATCGTTTGACTTAATGAAAGCCTGAAAGTGGTGGAAGTGGTTTTCTGAAGATTGTATTTTGAAGGAAAATAAAAAAAATATCATCACAGGCAGTGTTACGGTGTTACGATATATAATATCAGTTTGTAATATGTTCACAATTTTGAATAGTTTTTATATTGCTTTGCTGGTATGAATGTAAGATTATAAAAATAAAACCTTTTTTAAAGACCTTTTGTTTATCTATTCGAGTTAAATATTGATGATCACCAATTTCGGATGCATTTTACACCTTTTAGAAGAAAATTTGAATTAACTAACCAATCGGTTATTTGTTTTGATTTTACTAGACAGCTATTTCCTTCTACATGTTGACACAAAACTTGCTACTTTTTCAACCAATCAGATTCAAAACTAAGACCACGTTTTCCGCGCTTCAGAGTTTTTCTTGTTTTTATTTCAAGATTTTATTGGCTCTTGCTGATATTTTCTTTGCTATGACTGGCTGTTACGATTGCTTTAGTTTTGGTTTAATCGAAAAACGCTCTATTGTTTTGTCATGTTATTGTACTTAGCCTTTTCTTCCAGGAGCGCGTAGTAGTCATTTAGGCCTCTGAAACAGCCCAGCACAAGGCTTCGTTTATTTTTTATTTTAATTTTCAGACTTTACTATCTGCTAGCTAGTTTTGTCTTTGTAAAATTTCCGTAGGTTAGGCTCACTACCTCCGGAGCAAGAGACATGCTGTTTTCTAGTGTACTGACAGTTACTTAAGTGATGACTTCCGTTGTTGTCTTTGAGAGTGACTGACATCTCTACAGTCTTAGCGGAACTAATCTTGACCGTTACTTAGATGATGACTTCCGCTCAGTTTTTCGAAGCTTTTCTCTCTTTTAGACAACAAGTCTTTTTGAAAACGCACTTTTAATTCTCTTTGGTCTTATCAAGGCGGTTTTAGCTCCTGACATGAAATTGATGATTCACTCACTGTGGTTGAAATTTCTAATGACAACCGAACCTCTTCACCAAAAACGCCAGTGTAGATTATTTGAATAAATCAAAGCAAGAACATGAACTGGAAGAGAAAGAAAACCATTTGAAGACTTGTTGTGTATGTCGCTTTTGTGTCTAACGGAATTAATGTATTTTCATTTCAAGATTCGAATTTGTTGGACAATTCTGATACTTTTCTGCATTGGAAGCATTTGGTGGTCAGATATCTATAAAGGTTTGTAGAGATTAGAATCTAGAATGCTGCATATCTTGCTTTGAAAATGGCTTCTGATCGGCTTAAAAATAAAAATTAATTCTCACGAGATCTGTTTTTAATTATGTAGAATTTACTTCAAAGTTTACGCTGACAACGATTAGGGAAGAATCCAAAACATCACTTCGAAAGAAATATTCCGTGGTAAGTAAAGAAAGGTTTTCTTTTATAAAATATCTGATATACTACGAGGGTCTGGTTTGTCTAAAAACTTGTCGTTTACTGCACCGGTAACCCTTAAGAAAATTAAAGTCAATTTATTTCATTGAACTGTTTTCGTGTGCTCTCAACATTGCGCTAAACTGATAGAAATTACGCTCTATTGCTTAAAGAATCTTATAACTAGGAGGTTGATTCGGACCAGACGAGACAATTTCTTACAAAACAAAAATTTATTTCATTACGACACACCTCGGCAACATTTTTTCGTCACTTTCCTCTTTTCCTTTCGCAATATCCGCGCGGAGAACAAAATTTTGCAAATCTATCTCGCTTGAGTCTGATCACATGCTTTACGCCGGTTTCGCTACTCGCTACTAACGTGCAGAATTTGCTGCCTCTTTTAGTTCACAAGCAATATCTGTAACTTATACTCCCAACTGCGTGATTGCCATTTTGAGTCAGTGAAACTGATTATATGCAAATTGCCTTAAGGTTTGCTGTCAACCGGCTCGTTGATTTTCGTGATTGTTGCGAGGTTGCGTCTCCAAAGTAAACCTGATTGTAGGGTGGAACATATTGGCGAAATCTACAAAATTGCAAGCTTCTTTCATAGAAATGTCCCTCGGTGAAAATATGTCATCAAGAAATCTCTTTCAGACCAAAGGTTAGAGGAGCTAACCATTAACAGACGTTATTCTAGGTCTGCCATTTCTCTCTCTTGTCGATGATAACCACACGTTGGTCCTAAGTGATCGTGGAAGTAGAATAATAGAATGGTAATATAAAGTAAGTAGCGAATTCGGCATGTAAGTAGCGAACATGTAGCGTAATCGATAAGTAGCGAAACCGACTGTTGCGGATCACATCATGATACAAATTCAATTTATTTGAAGGTTATTATTTGAATTGCCCTCTAAATCATAGGAATTGTTAAAAAGCGAATGAGTGGACTAAAGTCTTTTTCTTTTGGTATTCAAACAATTGTTTTTTGCTCAAATTTACATGTTAGTTTGATATATTATTCTGTGTGTGTTTTTGAGTTGTACAACGTCGTAAAAATCAATGCAAATACCCATTCCTCGTTTAAACAATCCTCTACAAAATATTACCTTCCAATCGAGTTGTATCGATTATGGATCGAGAGAGAGAGAGAGAGAGAGAGAGAGAGAGAGAGAGAGAGAGAGAGAGAGAACGACCTCATTTACGTATTTGCTTTTAGTAATGTAATAATGAGTGAGCCTTACTAATTGCAAATGCATAAAACAGTAGCTAAATATAACTCCCAAGGGACCGATCATTATTCATCGACTGCAAGGGGAAGTTGGAGAATTTTGATTGTGTCGCAAAAAAATTTACCTGCTCCTACGGGAACAGGTAAATTTACCTTTTTTAAGGGACATGAAGTATTCTCCTCATCGGAAGTCAATTTGCCATATTGCCCACTTAATGTTAGAGATGAGACGACCGACTCCTCTCCGAACCTCTTCCGTTTCCGGTCCTTTCCGTAAAAATCATGGGATCCCCACAAATACTCCGACTCCCCCACTGGTACCTTAGAATATAAGATTTCTTGCCGCTCATTAGATTGGCAAACTTTAAAATACAAGCTATAAAGTTTTAATCTGTTGCTTTCAGGACTTTACAAACGCTCGACAACTTGAAGATCGAATACAGGCCCGAAGAAAGATGGTTGCGGATTACTGCAAGAGGCACAAAGCCAGTGACTCTCTATTTGGAACTAATCTCCGCTATTTTCTGGTCTTTCGGAAGAGAAAAGTTATCTATTGTTTTGTCCCGAAAGTTGCAAGTACGCAATGGCAGAAAGAACTCTTCGTTTTGAAAGAGGAAGATGAGGAAATGTCTCGTGATGCAAACGTTACTGTAGCTAAGAACAACTTGAATTACTTTTCTGAGCAAGAAGCACGGCAAATGCTGAAGAGTTATTTCACGTTCCTGTTTGTTCGCGACCCGATGGAACGCATACTTTCAGCTTACAAAGACAAGTTACTAGAAGACAACAAAATTTTCCGACACGCAATTGGCAGAAAAATCATCGCACGATTTCGGCCAAATGCTACTCAACATGCCCTCGAAACAGGGAGCGTTGTTACGTTTCCAGAATTCACGAGTTTTTTGCTGCAAGCAAAAGAGTACGATGAACACTGGAGACCATTTGACAACCTTTGCCATCCTTGTGCAATTAACTTTGATTTTATTGGACATTACGAAGATCTCGCTGAGGAAGCTCCTTATTTGGTAAAAAAGGCGGGAATTGACGACCGCGTTTCGTTCCCTCCTGTTCGCGCGTCGAACACCACGGCTGATCTGTTGCAATATTATTCACAAATTCCTAATACGAAAATCTTGCAGTTAGCAAAGATATACGAAAACGACTATAAAATGTTTAACTTTCCATTCCCAGGTAAACTGGCAAAGCTCTTTGATTCTGAGGAAAGCTGAGAACATAGATTTGGAAATCTTATGGGAAATCATTTGAATTTCATTTCTGAAATTCATTTTGAATTAATTTAACTGATTTTCATCAGAAGCTAAAACTGGATATGAAAGTAAAGTATTTTATTCTGGTAAACGTTTTTAACTCGTGGATACGCGATAGTTTAGAGACGAGTTGTTGTGGGCACTTTGGGATATGCAAATTGGCGTGGAGTCTTCGTAATTTGTCGTAATTAGTCGGCTCCGAACTCGAGATCTATCCTTCCGAAGAAGTC